GCCAGGGCTGGGGACCCCCGGGACGCGGTGACATCTTGGGGGCTGTGTGCGTGATCGCGGTGGGAAGCACAATGGGCAGTGCGGCTTCGTTACAGTGCAGTTCCGGTTACAGTTTCGTTATAATGTCATTTTTTTAAAACCCAGAGAGGGTTTATAAAGCTGCAAGACAAAAAGTGCGATAACGTTTTGAGGAACAAGATGCTTAAAAACAGCAACAACAACAACAAAAACCGAAGTGGAGAGAGGGCCAGGAGGTGGAGAGAGAGGGATAAAGAGAAACGGACGTAAAAAGAGCTGAGATGTGTTCTGCACAACAAATTGCGCTCGTAAAAATAAAATCAAGAAAGATAAAGAAGACGAAATGAGCCAGGATAAAGCCCACAACTTGGCTTTAGCGTTCGTTGTGCTGCGATGAAGATACCGAAGTGTTGCTAAACCGCCTCTAAAGAAACGTGGAAATGGGGTTAGAAAGCCTGAAACTGGGGCTGTCTCGGGAAGGACGGTCGCGCTTTGCACTCCTGCATGCCGGATGGAGAACCTCTGGACACCGTTTTGTTTCTCTTTACAGTGAGCGTGGATTGCACGCCGGTGTGCAAAGTCGCAGGTTTCAGCTGGGGAATACTGCCACGCACCGACGCTTGCCGAGGGACTGGGGTAATCGGCGTTCCGCGGCACGCGCTCTGGGCTCATGGTCCCAACAGCTTCAGTGTACAGTGTCAAACAACATGCTCGATTTCGAGGGGTAGTATTGGCCTTCTCTTCCTCCCAAAGGTCAGCATATTGACTTTAAACTGTGTTTTCTATTTGGGCAAAATACACACTGACTTCTAGAACGTATTCTAACTGAAAGCATAGTTTTTGAAGTGACTCAAACGAGGAGACTCGTGGCTGGAGACAGATGTCGCAGAGTGGCGAAACGCTCGTCTGTGTGTATGTGTGAGAGGCCCTGCTTCACTCCTTAGTACTGCCGGAAGACACAATCATAAACTGAGGCAAGTAGCTGGGTGTGGTAATGCACATCTATAATCCCAGCATTCTAGAGGCTGAGACAAGAGGATCACCACGAGTTTGAGGCCAGCCTGGGCTAGTAAGCTCAAGACCAGCCTGAACTACAAAGCAAAACCCTGTCTAAAAAAAGAAGAAAATAAGGCATATAATTAAACAGTCACTCAATTCCTTCAGGGCCTGTTAACATTTTTTTTTTTTTTTTTTTTTTTTTTTTGCGGAACTGGGGATTGAACTCAGGCCCTTGCGCTTGTAGAGAAGCGCTTATTCCACTGAGCCATCTCCCCGGCCCCAACATTTATTAAACTTATAACCTATGGAATTCTGAGGCTGAGGAGATTAAAGTCAAAATATCCGGGCTGGGGAGATGTGTCGGTAAGATAAGCACTTGCCTGGCAAGCGCAAGGGCTGGAGTTCAATCCCTGGTTCCGAAAATAAATAAATAAATAAATAAATAAATAAATAAA